CAAGGCGTTTCAGATGCAAGGAATAGCTAACGCGTTAGCTATTGTCTGCGCAGACGCTGCTTTAGAGTTGTGCGCAGGGAACGTTCAGAGGGAAAAGCTAACGAATCCAGGAAAAAAGGTCACAAGAAAAAGAGTCACAGAAAAAAGGCACGGAAAAACCTAACCTAACCTACGTGCAATGCCATCATATTTATATTGTGTTGTCAATGTGTACATGTCATTGACATTTTTCCTGTGACTTTATTTCCGTTCACGAAGCTAACACCTCGATAAGGCGTTAGCCTTGAGGAGCGCCCAAGCGGCCCAAATAGGAATATGTTAATTTAACTACAGTCCAAGTATTATTATTTAATATTAATTTATTCCGCGAAGTAATTTTAATGTAACTTGGATGTGTTGATGGAAGTGATAATATTAAAAAAAAAAAAAGATAAAGCTAATGCAGAAATACAAGACACGTCTTACCACCGTTGCCAATCTAGCACACACAAACACACACACGTACGTTATCTATACTTACACTAACGGTAAAACTGTGTCTTAAGAAATGAAGGACGATGATGACCACACACGTGATTCAAATGCCTCTTTGCCTTTGGCCACCACAACACACTAACCATCCCTGGGCTTCGCTCCCCTTCTCACATCACACACAACCACACACATGCACCCCACACCCTTCTTTATATATATTTATACCTTGAGCTGTACTTCCCTCACTCCTTGACGAATGACCGTTATGTGATGTCCTGATGTTTGTATTACAGTATATGTTTTACTGCGCTTCTACAACTGTGGTCTTAATGTATTACTGCACTTCAATAACTAAGGTCTTAATGTATTACTGTTACAACGAAGGTCCTCAAGAGCTTATTCTAGGTTATTTAATGTGCTATAAAAACAGATAGTCATCTACCATTAAAAATTCAAAGACATCGAACAGCTTGGTAGGTTCTTGTTTACGTCCAGCGGTGGTACGACGCTACGTACTAATTTTTTATAGGCATCCGGTTAGTATGTCATGTTTTTTTTTAGGTAAAGACTTGGGCTACAGACCTAATAACCCCAACACGATGGAAGAATGCTTTGAGGATAATAGGTTATTGGTGTAAATATCTAGTTGTGATTGTTACGATGATAATAGGACTGTTCGGTGAATGATTGTACTGTGGGGTATGAGATGTTTGGTTCACACTCAGGATGGGATGGAGAAAGGAAACTCACAATGTGCTCTCTATATACATGTTGTATTGGATGTACAATGCAGCTTGGTGCTGGGAAGGCAGCATGGTTACAAGCGTGATGTAGAGAGAGCTGGTTGGTGAGGACGCTCAGAGGACAGCTTGTGGGTCGCCATGCTCGCCAGCGGGAGAGAGGACCGCCAGGCAGGCGGAGGAGGAGGTGTTGCTGGCTGCGGCTGTAGGTAGAAAGAGAGAGATCACCACGAGGTCAGGTCTTAAATAGCGGGGGTAGGCGTGGCTTAGCAGTTGACCCCCGCTCCGTGTGTATGGCGGCGCTGGTTGACCTAGACCACGAGGCATACACTGGGGAATTGGTGGGGTCGGCTAGGCAGCGACAAACAGCGTTTGTAGGGGAGAATTCCACTACAATACTCCCCCTTCCCTCCAGGCTGTGTAGGAGACTTGTTGTCTGCAGGGTTGCATAGCACATGTGAGGCAGAACGGGCGGTGCGTGCCTCATGTGAGACAACGGCGATGGCGTGGATGAGCCGGTCGCTGGATACAACTGTCTAGATACACAATATCTGTGGGAGTAGAGAGGGAGAATAAGGGTGTGTGGAGGCGATGAATGTTGTGCTTCCCTCACGGCAGGTACAGAGTCGACAGATGCGCCTGCTGGGGTGTGTGGGCCTGGGTCAGGAGCAGGGGCTGTGTCAGCAGAAGCGGATGAGGGCTCGTGACAGCAGCTGGGTCCACGACAGCAGCAGGGTGCAGGACATTAGCAGGGAGTACCTGAGGGAGAAAAGAGGGGTGTGTGGGTCCGCACTCAGGAACAGAGGCCGCATCAGGGGCGGCAGGGGTTACTGCTGGGCCGGGGTCGGCGTCTGAGGCAGGACGGGTGTGCTGGGGTCGGTAGGACGTGGTGCTTGGGGCAGGAAGAGGAGCTGGTGTCTGCTTAGAGTAGCAGAGCTGCTCTAGGTTGTCTAACCTGCGGTGTAGAAACAGTAGTTGTAGAGCCGATGAGAGCTGCTTCTGGGTGGATAAGCCAGTCTTCCATGTTGCTTGAAGACTGGGAGCGTGATCAGTTTCTCCTCCATCCTGTGTGAGTGCGAATCTCCGGGGTCACCATTTGTGGGGTATGAGATTGTTTGGTTCACACTCAGGATGGAATGGAGAAAGGAAACTCACAATGTGCTCTCTATATACATGTTGTATTGGATGTACAATGCAGCTTGGTGCTGGGAAGGCAGCATGGTTACAAGCGTGATGTAGAGAGAGCTGGTTGGTGAGGACGCTCAGAGAAGGACAGCTTGTGGGTCGCCATGCTCGCCAGCGGGAGAGAGGACCGCCAGGCAGGCGGAGGAGCGAGGACCGCCAGGCAGGCGGAGGAGGTGTTGCTGGCTGGTTGGTGTAGGTAGAAAGAGAGAAATCACCACGAGGTCAGGTCTTAAATAGCGGGGATAGGCGTGGCTTAGCAGTTGACCCCCGCTCCGTGGTGTATGGCGGCGCTGGTTGACCCAGACCACGAGGCATACACTGGGGAATTGGTGGGGTCGGCTAGGCGGCGACAAACAGCGTTTGTAGGGGAGAATTCCACTACAGTACAGTATATGTCACTCACTCACCGGACTTTCTTTTATTTTTACCTTAGGAGTATATAAGCACTAATGATAACGTGAGTGGATATATAAATCAAGTAATATACGTCCAGAATGAATGACATAAACTCATCCGTCATAATCTCAATATTCAGGGTATATCTGAATTTCTGCCTCATTTACACACAATTGCAGGTCTCAATTGTTTCTCTTACTATTGACAATACAACATACCTGTACATACTGTATAATATCATTTCTCACTCTTGATTTATTTGTCATTTAATTGGTGTTATTATTATTATTATATTTTTATTTTTATTGGGCACCCCCCTACATCCTTGTTTAAGGTGAAGCGCAGAAGCGTTTACAGCGCCCAACAGGGAAGCATGATAAGTTCATGCTTGCCTTTATGTCTCATGAGTTAAAGGCGTACAATATTATCGCCCCTCAGGCCCTGATGTGGGTCAGTGACCCAGCCTCGGTGGGCTATTCCTGTAAATATATATATATATATATATATATATATATATATATATATATATATATATATATATATATATATATATATATATATATATATATATATATATATATATATATATATATATATATAACAAAAACCTGTCAAAGAGAAATTGAAAGAAGAAAGATGAAGAAACTAAAAAAAATGGGGTGGAGGCTAGAATTGAAAGTAAGGATTAATGACTAGGTTGGATTAGTTTTAAGTTATGGTTAGGAAAAGTTATGTATGGTTAAATTAGCGTATAGTCAGTAGGTATTAAGTTACGTTTGGTATGTTTAGGTTAATTTATGTTAAGTATAAAGTAAGTCACGTTGCGTATGGTTAGATTAGATTAGGTTAGGTTAAGCATAATTAAAATAAGTTACGTTGCGTATGGTTTAATTGGAATATGTTCAACTTAGATTATGTAAATAGGAAACCAAGAGACAGGCCTCATACTGTTACGTGGGCGGATATCATTGCGTCCTGCTTGAAAATATGCACCAAATTGTGGACACTAGAAGAGTTTACCTGTACAAAAAAAGCACTTGCGTGATGGAATTTGTTCTAGTGAATCTAGTGAGAATGTGAGTCATTGTCACTTACACTCAACTCTGTACCGTCATTCTGTTGAGTGATAAAATTCTCATGAATTCAGTTATTGTTGAAAGATAAATTTTAATATCTTGTTTTTTCATGGGAAAAACCCAGTGCTTGAATTGTAAGTGAATCACGTGAAAATTAGGTACCCTAGTTCATTTTACCTGATGATTAAACACCCTATGCTACTAGTGTCGCGTCCTATTGTTATTTATCACTGAACTCCCCAAAAAATTATCCTGGTGAAAAACTGGTGGACACATCAACCACACGGAAACGATGGTGTGGTCAGTCGTGCCTGTTGTATATATACGATGACAATGAGTAACCAATTTTAACTTAGGTATGTTATCAGGGGATTGTGAATGTCTTGGTGTTGCTACGGTGATGTGTTTCCAGTACTGAGTTTATGTGCCTCACTGATATTAAAATACTGATGTAACTTGCTGTATAATTAATATCCTGAAGTTATAGTTATGTTAAATTTATCAGTGTTATTCTTGGTGGATTATATCGAAGGCTCGCAAGGTGAATATATACCATAATTAAAGATGGAGGAAGGTTTAAGATGATATCAGTAAATTTCGTATGTATAAATTCTATAAGTTAATTTTGTCCTTTAACTGAACGTATGTAGTTAAAGTTGAGTTTCAATGTAATTTTGCTGTTTTCGAAGGTTAAATTAGGTTTATTTTTGGTTAGATTAGGTTCGGTAAGGTTTGGTTGGGTTTGATTAAGTTAGGTAAGATTTGGTTAGATTAAGCTTGAGAAAGTTTGGTTAGATTTAGTTGGGTAAAGTTAGGTTAGGTTTTGTTTGTTTAGGATTGTTTAGATGGGCTTAAGTAGCACAAGTTACGAGAAAAATTAACATCGAACTTTTCCAAAGCTAGTTAAGGGAGATTCGAATTGCGTACTTTGATATTCTTTTTACCATCCAGTCAGATGCATACATACAGTTACGATAAATATTTAACATAGGAACTTTTAGAAAACTGATATTGATGTTAAAATGCATTTGGTGATCTGCTGATAATTTTTATCCTTGTACACTACTATAGTAATTATAATAGTCATCAACTATTAAAAAGAATAAGAGAACATCTGAACTCTTAATACCTGCAGTAGAAAATCTCATAAGGGAGAAAGTTGAAGGAAGTAGAAGGTTCGCGAACACAACAAAGCACAGAAGACGTTTCGTCAGCCAGCCCGCTAGCCCGCCAAATGTCGAAGTAGGCACATTGACACACCAAGACCCTTATTTATACCCTCTAAATGCATTTTATTTCGTCGTGTCACAATACCACGTCTTCTCAGGGTTGTCCAAGATGTAGCAGCCATGTGAGAGAGTAATTACCACTAAACTCCTGGGGATGAGAGAGAACTTTTAGTGTTGACGGAGGAGCAGAATATGTGAGTGTATTCTTGATGTCTCACACAAGTAGGTTAATGGGATTTATGAGCTGTGAGAAGTTTACTGTTTCAAGCTCCACATTCACTGAAATAGATAAATAAAGAGATATTCAGTTAAATTGTTATAAAAGATTACATAGAGATAGGTTGTATAAAGACAGTGAAGGTATACAAACAATATATACAGTAGCGAACGAAGGTACCTTGACAAACCTGAACTACCTCAAAAGCCCCACACGAGGAACAACAAAGTCAGTCAGTCAGTAAGGATAGCCTGATTAGTAATTGTTAGAACTAATAAAATTCCTCTGTGGTCATAGGTCACCGCCATCACACTGGTATGTATTAATACTGGTAGTTAATTGTTTCTCCCACACCCGACTCGAGGTCCACAAACATCACGGTAATTTTGTCTCCTAGGTGGTGTTCAGTTAGGTTGCTTTAGGTAAACTACTGTAAGTTATTTTAAGTTAATTAAGGTTAAGTTAAATTTGCTTTCTTTGTTTTACTTGTGTAGTTTATAGGTTATTTAAAGTTAATTTTAGGTTAGGTTATTTAAGGTGTTATTTTTTGTGGGTTTGGTTTGTTTATTTTTAGCGTTAATTATTTTAGGTTAGGTTAATGTGTTAATTATTTTCGGTTAGGTTACGTATCCTCCAGTGGTTATCGTAACAATAACAAGGGGCGGCGATAGCGGTACATTATGATAAGACTGATACGTATCAGTAAATAACGTAATTTTCTTCCACTTCAAGTCTTCTTTTTTTCCGATGTTGTAGATAAGACAATATAAAGTCGTAATAGAGAACAAATGAACCGCCCCAGCGGTTAGTAAACTGATTAGAGGTGAAAAGATAAAGTAAAAATGACGCACATAATCAAGGGATGCAGCAAGTTATCATGTATGCGAATGCTGATTGGCCCTTTGAATATTTGACGTAACGTTTTTATATGCTGATTGGGCTTCTGGATTTGTGACGTCATGAGCTTCTGGCCACTGTGGTGGGTTTGCTGCCAGTGACTTCATCTCGGATGTTGTTCAATTTCAATTGTTTATTCCTTGATAGAGGAAGCGGGATCCTAGTGCTGTCACTAGGTACCCCTGTACAATAACACCAGAAGCATCTGGCAAGTGTGACAAGTATATGCAGTATAAATATTATAAAGGGGCTTACTAAAGCCTAAGGAAGGAAGGAAGGATATTCCTTTAACACATAATCAATGTTATTTACAAAATATCTGGCCAGTATGGGGAGGATCATCGTGTCTCCGTCAGGGGGTCGTGGAGTGGTGGTCCAGCAGGCGTCACGGAAGCGTTGTGTGTGGGGACATCTTAGGAGGGGGGTGGATGTTGTTTTCATTATCTGTGGTTGATTAATTCCTGCGAGTGACTTGGATTTTTTTTTTTTTTTTTAGTATTCAAGGCCAGTCTTGACCAATAACAGCTCTTGTCTGATGTTGCTGTACGACACTCAACACATAGTTTGAGGAACACAGTGGAATTTTGCTTTTAATTTATACCATGCCTGTGTATGGTATAATACCAGAGAAACATAAAGCAAAAGGTGTTTTTTTTGTCTAGTGACTACTAGTCTGTATCTGTACCTGTGGTGGTGATATAGTGGTGATGGTACAGTGGTGGTGGTGGTATAGTGGTAGTAGTGGGTAGTGGTGATGGTATAGAGGTGGTGGTGGTATAGTGGTGATGGTATAGAGGTGGTGGTGGTATAGTGGTGATGGTATAGAGGTGGTGGTGGTGGGTATAGTGGTGATGGTATAGAGTGGGGTAGTGGTGATGGTGGTATAGTGGAGTAGTGTAGTGGTGGTATAGTGGTGGTGATGGTATAGTGGTGAGGTATAGTGTGGTGGGTGTGATGGTATAGTGTGGTGTGATATAATGGTGATGGTACAGTGGTGGTGGTGGTATAGTGGTAGTAGTGGGTAGTGGTGATGGTATAGAGGTGGTGGTGGTATAGTGGTGGTGGCATAGTGGTGATGGTATAGAGGTGGTGGTGGTATAGTGGTGATGGTATAGAGGTGGTGGTGGTATAGTGGTAGTAGTGGGTAGTGGTGATGGTATAGAGGTGGTGGTGGTATAGTGGTGATGGTGAATTTGAAAGGTAAAATAAATTAGTTTACAGAACTGTATTCTTGGCAGCTTCTGGGCTCACCGAACGTGTCAACATTATGCGTTGCACCATCAGTGAGGCCAGTTGTAGGTCTGGTTTCTATTAGGACTGGAGCAGATAAATGTTCAGTAAGTTTTTGTAGAGCTTATCAAAAAGAAGTTTCTCAGGTAGATAAGTACAGGTGTCCCCAGGTAGATAACAGGTGTGCTCAGGTAGATAACAAGAACAGGTGTCATTAGGTAGATAAGTACAGGTTATCTCAGGTAGATAACAAGAACAGGTAATTAGGCAGATAACAAGTACAGGTTTTCTCAGGTAGATAACAAGAACAGGTGTCATTGGGTAGATAACAAGTACAGGTTTTTTCAGGTTGATAACAAGTACATGTGTCATCAGGTAGATAACAAGTACAGGTGTCCTCAGGTAGATAACAAGAACAGGTATCACTGACTGTTGACGAGGCGAACCATAACATAAGAAAATAAGGAGTCTGCAATAGGACGGTTGGCCTGTGCATGGCAGCTCCTGTCGAGAGTTACTACCACTCTAGCATCCATGAATCTATCTAGCCTCATTTTAAAACTTTCCAGCGTTCCAGCACTAACTACAAAGTTGCTAAGCTTGTTCCACTCGTCCACCACCCTATTTGTGAACCAGTTCCTCTTCCTATCTCTCTCCTAAACCTAAACTTATCCAACTTAAATCCGTTGCTACGAGTCCTATCCTGCTCGGATATTATAAGAACTTTATCTATATCCCCTTTATTGATTCCTTTCACCCACTTAAATACTTCTATCATATCTCCCCGCACTCTTCGTCTTTCTAGGGAATGCAAGTTTAGTTTCTTTAACCTATCCTGATATGGTAGGTTTCTAAGTCCCGGAATCATTTTCGTCATTCTTCGTTGCACCGACTCCAGTGAATTGATATCTATTCTATAATCAAGGCACCAGAGCTGAACCGCATAATCGAGGTGCGGCCTGACTAGCGCAAGGTATAGTTGAAATAAGACCTCTGCACTCTTATTACTTACACTTCTAGATATAAAACCTAATACTCTGTTTGCCTTATTTCGAACATTAACGCACTGTTTTCTAGGCCGTAGGTCCGGGCTTACAAGTACCCCTAAGTCTCTTTCACAAGTCGACTTTAGCAAAGTATTTGACAGAGTACCGCATCAGAGGCTTCTGAGTAAAAATTAAGGCTCATGGTATCGAGGGGAAAGTTTTAAGTCTAGTTACAAGATCTTTACTTTGTGGTTATCAGCATATATATATATATATATATATATATATATATATATATATATATATATATATATATATATATATATATATATATATATATATATATATATATATATATATCTTAGCTTTATGTAAGACATCTTCAGAGGCAACTGGATTACATGGACAGAGAGAGGCTTAAATATACAGGGTGACTTTAAAAACATGAGGTCAGATCACAATGATGTCATCCACTAATCCCCACACCAACACACACGTAGAGGAGCTTAAGAGAAGGGGGGTGACGTGACTAGTCAGGTTAGGTCAAAAATAAGGGACCCACTAAATAACTATCATACATCAAGATCAAAGGTTTTCAAAGCATTTTTAACCTTGGGCCACTGACAAATAAATTTATGTAACATATTATCAGTTTTGAACTGACCATCAAAACAAAACAAAAACAGATGCCAGATATTGTTATGTCTAACATCTACAAGTTTTTTCTGAAGAATCATTTGAAATATTATATATCGTTGGACATGCATTGGAGAAAAACCTAAAATTACCTAAAGACATGCTTCATGGCCTCATATCTAGGGTTCAAAGGTAGAGCGGGTGGTACCAGATTGATAAGAATTACTTACATAACCTGGAATAAGTATTAGGGCCACTTCACGTGATGATTTTAATATAATTTACATGTACCGGTAATATGTTAGGTTGTTAATATTAGTTATACAATAATAAAATAACAAAAACATTAAAAAACGTAAAGTGAAAGCCTTAGAGAATGACATTACAAGTACAGGTTCGCCAGATATACAGTGCGTGCAGCGTCATACTCCTGGAATTTCTTCATAGGTATGCCGTATTTATTCCCAGGACGAAAACTACCTGAATCTAAACAAATTAAATGTCAAACTACGATAAGTTGTTGAAGTATGTTAAATTGTATTACTGGAAGTAGCGATAGCATGTGCAGTGATTAATCGCATATGGTATATATTCACAGCCGGGTATACTTGCCAAAGGTTGTGTAAAACCGAATTAGTATATTGATTACTTAAATGGCTTGGCTGGCTTAATGTTAGACATGAGGGTGGGGGGAATATCAGTTCGTCCTGGGAAAACTAGAGCAAATACCCATGACGCAGGTGTTGCGACATCACCATCTTGTCGCTGAGGGGCTGCGTTGCGCAATTATTTTTCATTGTCATTAGCTCATTTTATCTTTTTTTTTGCGGTTAAGTTTCTCTACCACCATTCGTAAAATATAACAAAAATAAATTTCCCCTTCCTGATTAGTTTAAGTTAAAGGCCATAAAATAGTGAAAAATGGTTGAAAGATCAGTCTGTGGCAACTCCAGCCCGGGGGTATATAAAGCGCGTCGTCAACAAAGCCACGTCAGTTGCATACCAGCTCCTCGTGATCGTCTCATGGGTAAGTAGTGAATCGTCATTATTTCAAATATTTTTTTTCATCTATTCTTTATATTATTGCCGTCTTCAGGATTTATTTTTACTTGAATATAATCATCTAACGGATATATAAAAGGTGAATATTAGTTTTTTTTTATCAAGTCGTCTTTGGAGTAAAGGTCCAAACTTTAACCAGGGTATCACCGCATTGTTTTCAGGGGCTACCTCAGTACAGTATATACTTGACGTCATATTTAATATTTTTTTAACTCTTATGAGGATATTTCGAAATATCTTCATTTGAAATTTACTGCTTAACAGGATGTCAAGTGCGCAGTTGTTACGACATTACCTGCTGACTCAGGGGACTCAGGGTTATTTCTTTTTGTTGAATAGATAAATAATTATTCATTGAAATCTTCATACAAGTTTACATTAAATCAGCGTGTACGTAGACGATACAGGTATACACACGATGTACTGCAGAAAATTGTATGTTGTTTAGTGTATATAACATTTACAATACATTATTGCATACTTGTACTGCATAAAATGTACTTCTACAATACAGATATACAATGTATGAAAAATTCAAGGTATGTAAACTACTGCTGAATTGTATACCTGCATTGCTTATATACCTGTTAAACCAATGTAAACAGTGAAGTAGAAACCCCAAACTCTTCAAGCAGTTACGAACGCTCTCTTAACATACGGCTTATGTGATTATGTATTTGGAACAAGGCCATTGGGTCGCCTGAAGATTAGCCCCCTTAGCCTTATGATTAAACGAAGCCAGGAAAAAGGTCAAGAAAAACCTAACCTAACCTAACTTAAACTAACCTACGTGCAATGCCATCATATACTGTAGATAATGTGTTGTCAATCTGTACAAGTCGTGTGAGTTTATATCCGTTCACCGATTGAACACCCTAATGCTGTAGGTTAGGGTAGATTATGCGGTAGGTTAGGGTAGATTATGCGGTAGGTTAGGGTAGATTATGCGGTAGGTTAGGGTAGATTATACGGTAGGTTAGGGTAGATTATGCGGTAGGTTAGGGTAGATTATACGGTAGGTTAGGGTAGACTATACGGTAGGTTAGGGTAGATTATACGGTAGGTTAGGGTAGATTATGCGGTAGGTTAGGGTAGATTATGCGGTAGGTTTAGATGCGGTAGGTTAGGGTGGATTATAGGGTAGATTATGCGGTAGGTTAGGGTAGATTATGCGGTAGGTTAGGGTAGATATGCGGTAGGGTTAGGTAGACAGGTTAGGTAGATTATAGGTTAGGGTTATGGTAAGGTAGACTATACGGTAGGTTAGGGTAGATTATGCGGTAGGTTAGGTAGATTATGCGGTAGGTTAGAATTAGATTATGAGTAGGTTAGGGTAGATTATGCGGTAGGTTAGGTAGATTATGCGTGGGTTAGGGTAGTACGGTAGGTTAGGGTACGGTAGGTTTATAGGGTGGAAGTTAGGGTAGATTATAGGGTTATATGGTAGATTTTAGTAGGTTATGGTAGATTAGATCAAGGTAGGGTTTGGGTAGATTAGATCAAGGTAGGGTTTGGGTAGATTAGATCAAGGTAGGGTTTGGGTAGATTGGATCAAGGTAGGGTTTGGGTAGATTAGATCAAGGTAGGGTTTGGGTAGATTAGATCAAGGTAGGGTTTGGGTAGATTAGATCAAGGTAGGGTTTGGGTAGATTAGATCAAGGTAGGGTTTGGGTAGATTGGATTAAGGTTAAAATATGTTAGGTTAGCGTAAGGTTGGTTTAAACATAAGGTGGAATTAGCAGTGGGTGGGGGGGTAATCTTCAGGTGATTTATACCATTATTTTCTGTACATGTTGAATCTACAGTATATGTATGACCTCGTAGCGTTGTCTACCAGGTGAGGTCATAATAGGCATATTAGTGACATCAGAGGTCAACGTTCTCGATAGGGGACTGACCGTGGGTTAAAATCTGGTCAGGTCATCTTAAAAAAAATCGTAAGTGGGGGCAGACGACTGGATGTACAATGGGCAGACTTGGAAATATAACCTTCGATTCCCATGATGATTGTGATCTAGTCTCTCTCTCTCTCTCTCTCTCTCTCTCGTTCTCTCGTGAAGATCAGCACCCCTACCTCATTTTATTGATAATTAAACAATCTGATGTTACTTGCGGAGGTTAGGTTATTAAAAAGGGGGTTTAATTATCAGGTAAAAGAAGGGATTAATCTTCATGTAATCTCTCTCTCTCTCTCTCAACACAGCAGGGAAGTTGTAATTTATTATCGCTGACAGCCTGATACTGAACCACCAAGGACACACCTCAGCGTAATCTGCCACACCAACACATCTACAGTACGTCTTCAACTTAAAAAATCAGATTAAGGTATAACACGAGAATATGAAACGACAAATACCGGTGCCTAGTGTGAGCTGTTGAACATAAGAATAGTACAGTGCATTGGTAATATTTTGAAACAACCTTGGCAGAACGAACGTGATTTGGGTACACCTGAAGATTTGCCCCTGGTGATTAAATATTCTAACACTACCTAATGCTAAGTTAACTCCCCTCCCCCTCTCAGGTAGCCTTAGGGTGTCTAATCTTGGGGTGATCCTGAAGCTGGGGTGTCTAATCTTGGGGTGATCCTGAAGCTGGGGTGTCTGATCTTTAGTGATCCTGAAGCTGAGGATGTCTAATCTTAGGTGATCCTGAAGCTAGGGTGTCTAATCTTGGGGTGATCCTGAAGCTAGGGTGTTAATCTTGGGGTGATCCTAGCTGGGGTGTCTGATCTTTAGGTGATCCTGAAGCTGAGGATGTCTAATCTCTAAGGGTGATCCTGAAGCTGGGGTGTCTAATCTTGGGGTGATCCTGAAGCTAGGGTGTCTAATCTTGGGGTGATCCTGAAGCTGGGGTGTCTAATCTTGGGGTGATCCTGAAGCTGGGGTGTCTAATCTTGGGGTGATCCTGAAGCTGGGGTGTCTAATCTTGGGGTGATCCTGAAGCTAGGGTGTCTAATCTTGGGGTGATCCTGAAGCTGGGGTGTCTAATCTTGGGGTGATCCTGAAGCTGGGGTGTCTAATCTTGGGGTGATCCTGAAGCTGGGGTGTCTGATCTTTAGGTGATCCTGAAGCTGAGGATGTCTAATCTTAAGGTGATCCTGAAGCTGAGGATGTCTAATCTTAAGGTGATCCTGAAGCTGGGGTGTCTAATCTTAAGGTGATCCCGTTATTACTACCCATTCAACCCTTATCAGACGAGTACAAAGAATACCATTAGTCCACACCGTATATACTGTACTGGCAGATTCCTGACTTGCGATACAGTCTACCCCAAAAGTTTAACTCTCCCAGCCAGCTATTGCTGCACTATTTGCTTCAGATGTATGAACTTGAGGCTGTTACTTCGAACCTTTAGTTTCATTTGTATTGGTTTCATGTTCTGGTTGGTACTGAGACAGTTTCAAACATCTGAAGTAGGCAGTGCAGTAATAGCTGGCTGGGAGAGTTAACGAACTTTTGGGTGAGACTACATAATACAGTACACAACACTGGTGTAGTGGCCACGCGGTATATTACCCCTCAACGTTAACATGTTGTTGACTGATGTTATTATGTTTCAGAGAGCAGTGAAGACAACAGCAATAGTAGTAAGACAACGGGTGGGGCGGATGAGTCCCCCTTCCCCCTGGCCACTGCTTTGGCAACACTGAAGCAGAAGACAGCGATGGAGGCGCCTCAAGTGGACAATTTCGTTAGGCTCGGAGATACCTGGCCTAGCTGACTCGACCGCGAGCACCCATGGAGCACTACACTCAAGGAAGGTGTTGTCGCACCTTTCTGCCCTCAATTGTTCCCCGCCAGGGCTCGTGCGCGGGACTTATGCAGTGAGGCAAGGTAAACATCGTCTGCCATTAAGATCAATTTTTTTCTTTATCATCATTTAAAGTTTTTTAAAATTGTGTTTAGAATTAATGGAATTCCAGTATAATTATTTCCTGTTGCTAAAACTTTTATTTTGTTCTTAATTATTTAAAGTTTGATTTTATGATGAATATACAGTAATTTTCAGTCATTATTTGAATTTGTGAGTGAATCGTTTTTTCAAAATAATGGAACTTTAGGTCATTTACAGTGTATACTATTACTGTACAATAATTACAGTACTGTTTTACCATTATACCTGTATAACATTTAGGGTATTATTACCATAAAATAAATGCAGCTCTTTGCAGATGGTTTTATTATACTTGTTTGTCGACAGCGAGTGTCGGTCAGAGGTTGGTGACGTGCACCCGAGCCACGAGTGGTGGTCATGCTCATCGTCCGGCTACCACAGTGGTGTTGGCACCTCGGAGGTCAGCGTCAAGGAACGGGCTGCTCTGAATGCTTCCTTAACCACCGATTATGCCAGCGACGATGACAGTGACTGGGGTGAGGACGAGTGGCCAGTGGAACGCCCGCTACCCCTGCCTGAGTGGGGTTGTGGGCGCCCCGAGGTGAACTTCTCCACCCTCCACCACTATCAGAGGTTCCTGGCACGTCTCACCCACCACCTCCACCATGCCCTCGCCGACCTTCCATACGACACTCTTTCTAACTTTATCACGTGAGTAGTTTGGCAGATGTTAGTTTAGCTGTTACATGAAGGGATTCCATCCCAAGATTGGCCCCCCAGCTTATTCCTTCTGAAGATGACCCCACACACACCTACCTGCATCTACCTACCTTTAAACCACAAACATGACCTCTTTTAAATGTTCATACCATAATTATAACCTACCACTAACCACTGAAATAAATCTTCCTTGGTTACATAATTGAATAATTTTTTTGATCTTTACATAATTACACAGTAGGTATTTTTGGCACGGTAAACTTTCTTCTTGATGAGACAAGAAAATATTGTACTGTATTGTATGGGGTTAACATACACCATGTCAGTGATCAGTTTAGCATGTTTGAAAGATCAAGTTGTACTGATGAATGTTGTTGGTTATAAAAATTCAGTTTAAATGTTTTTCTGTAAATAATATGTGGTCCCTCGATTAACGAACACTATTGGTTCCACAGAATCGTTCGTTAACCAAAAATTTCGTTAACTAAATCTATTATTTCAATGGGATATTGGGTAATTGGTTCTAACTCACAGAAAAAGTACATACAAAGTACTGTATACCTGTAATAGAATTAACAAAACATTAAATATAAACTAAATACAATACAGTACTGTACTGTATAGTATTCTGTACAATAATAAATAAAAAAACAATAGAATACTATATTTTAACTTACTTTGGGGTGTGTATGTCGTATTCCCGGCAGCTTTTAAATATCAAACGGCTGATTGTAGAGGCAGTTGATGATGACATGCCATATTCTTAACAGAGTGCATTGGTTCTAATGCTTTCTTCATGTTTCATAATAATTTCTGCACTGTATATTAAAAATATGTGAGCTAAATTTCAGAATCACCAATAATTTTAACGTAAAAATGCAGAAATATTCAAGAGACCAACAAACTGGATGTTCACTCCACTGTAAACAAAGTTAAACTAAGAAGCGTTAGTGGGTGATTCAATCAGCTGATGGGTGCACAAAAACTGTTCCCTGTACTGTATATACAGTCAACCCTCACTTTACGCGGTTAATTCAACCCACAGGGTACCGCGTAAAGTGAACAACATAACATATGTGATTAATTGAAATAGAGACCGGGCTGACCCCCAAACTCCACTTTTTGACGACACACAACTATGTTGTTGTAAAAATATTATCTTAACTTTATGATGGTATGCACACACAATTAATAATTAAGAGAAATATCAATAATATTAGGTTTTTTAATGCTTACATTAGTAGAAAAGATGGCTGGGCACACGGGGATGGGCGGTTGGTTCCGAGGCAGAGGGCAGATTATTGGCCCTCGCCTGTATCACTTGTATCAATTGTATCACTATCCACCACAGAGGCTTGCAGGGCCTCTTTGTCAAACCCCTCAAAGTCCATACAAGTCCATATCCTCACTATAATTATTACTATCACTGACTTGGGCCGGCTGTGGTGGGTGGCGGGTGAAGAACTCAGTAATGTTTTGATGACTGGGCGACCTTGTGCGCACCATGCTCGCGCCGCTTACACGACATGGCGGATGGCGGGAGGTTTGGATCCAAAAATGGCGCGGCTCGCCAACAGCTCTCTGCGTAAAGAGGTACACGCACCGCGGAATGTGAGCATTCCTGTTTCGGCAGGGTACCGCTTAAACGTGGAAACGCGGAATGTGGGACCGCGTAAAGCGAGGGTTGACTGTATTATCAATATGTTAACTAAATTAGAATGACCAATAATGTTAATATAAACATGCAAAAATATTCAAGAGCACAACTTTCTTGATATTTACTCCACTGGAAACAAATGTAAACATAGAACCAATTACTGTATTGGCGGACTAGCCGATCAGCTGATGCGCACAACAAAGCGTGTTTTTGTAGGGCTTTCATTAATGGAATTGAAATTCCTTATGGGAGTTAATTTGTTAACCGAAATTTCGTTAATTGGACCATTCGTTAATCGAGGGACCACGTCTGTGTACTGTATAACATTGCCATTGATTACTTTAATACTGTATAATAAACATTGCCACTTATTTCACCTTAATAAATAAGCATCTTGAGTCAAATGATAACAGAAACTTGATTATGCAGTTATCCGACCAGGAAAACATGGCTTGGCATGTATAACACTGACAGACCTTATTTTAGAGTAATTAACATGCAACGTTACCACTGCTCCTTTATAGCAATTAACACATTTCTTGTCAGTAATTATTTTAAGAGTAATTAATACACTTACTGATGCATACAAATATTGTTCATGATTGTCTTGTAATCAATGTCTCCCAATCCAACAGATTCTCAAAGGAGTTTGTGGAGTCACGGGACGAGTACCCAGAGCTGCTGGAGTTCTACCGTGACTATGATCCACCGCTGCTGCCCGGGCGTTACACCTGTGTGGGCCTGGCAGCTGACCTCGCCACCAGGTTGTCTGTTCTTGAAACTAACTACCCGGGCCTCAAGGATGCCACTTACCAGGTAAATTTGAAGCTGTATATCACTCAGTAAAATACGTTGATATTACCAATAAATTACAGTAAACTGTACAGTATTTATTTTTTAAGTAATAAGCCAAATTTTTTGATATTGGAAATACACTACATGAGTATTAATATATGATGAAAACCTCAATCTTTTTTATTCCATGTTGAGATTTATTTATAAACTTAATATATAACAAAAACCTTTTCCCCACGTCAACATGCGTTCGTAAACAGGCAATTGTCTTGCTACAGTTATATACAGTAGTGATATTATATAGTGTGGAGGTCCAGGAGGTGTTGTATAATACCTCAACCTCAGGGACGCCGCCCACCAGGTAAATTACATTAAGCTGTCATTTCTTGGATTCAAAGATGGCACGATAATGTTTTTGGGCATATGTCTGTACAGGAGACATTAATACTGTGTCTATGGGATCAAACCTCCTGAGTGTCATGTCAGATGTGAATTTTTACAGGGAGCCTGAAGCAAACTGGGGAGATCAGAACCCATGTGAAATTTTTCCTTGTTTCAGTTGTCCCCTTAAAAGGATTACAGTAGACACGATAGGGATTTTTCATACCATAGACATACTACTGTACTGTCGTAAGTTTGATATTAGTAACGTGCAACTGTTGAACTCCTGAAGTGACACCTTAATATATATACAGTAACATAACCTTAATTATCTTGTTCCACTCTGATGCATGTTCATAATAGTAAACAAAAATTTCTTTGAAAGTTTTTTTTTTAAACTTAGCCACTTACTCCTCCTCTTAGCCACTAATGAGTCAGTCAGGTCTCTTGCTCACTGTTAATTTGTTGTATAGTAGAAATGTTATTAGTACAGTATAGAAGATGAGATATTTCCACTGTCTTGTTGGTTTGATGCATGATAGTTTTTTTTAAAGAACATAAAGGATTATTTTATTATTTGACAAGTATCCATTTTCTGGCTTGAGTAATTTTGTCATAGAATAAGCAAGACCTTCACAAGAACTTAATACACAACATAAACAAACTTTCATTGTATGGCTTCGACATCAATGCGCATCTGTAGAGTTGGACGGGAATTTATAAAAAGTGTTTGGGTTTGTAGAATCCTCCAGTAAATCGGTTTTAGATTATATTCCTATGAATTTTTTGGCTGACCAAGTCTTAACAAATTGAATGTCACTACACCATTCATATCCTAATTTCATTTTAATATACAGACCCTCCCCATGTTTAAAGTATTATATTCTTTGAAAACACAATAATTTTGGTATTGTATTGTGTAAGCCAAGAGGAATACAGTGGTTATGTGTAACAGGTGTATACAGTAATGTGTGGCTCAGGTGTCATATGTGGAATTAAGATTATACAGGTACTTTGATGTTGTGGTGTCATCTGAGAAGTTGATGTTATATATATACTTTGTGGTCCATGTGTCATTTTAAGTTGAAATTAGGTAGATAGGTAAAAATATACCTTTAAGTTTCAGTTCAGATTATATACATACATTGGTGTTGAGGTTAAGTTGCAAAAAGTTGAAATTATAAATATACTTTGTTGTTCAGGTGTCTTGTGAGGAAGAGGTGAAGGCATTAGATTGGTACTGCTCACTGAAGGAGCCTCCTGTGGCCAGCTGCATCAAGGAACACGTATTACTGTGTATCAGAATCCGTGTGGCAGGTCGTGCTGGCGTGCTGCTCTTTGACCCTGGCTACCATGTTGGGGAGCCCATCACAGTTATGGAGGATGGTCTTGCCCCTCAGTCAGGTATCATAAAGGCCAGCACTACACGTTCAGAAGTCCACCGCACCTTTCAGTACCATTTCTGTGCAGACAATCCAGCCTTTGTGGCCTGGGAGGTGGTTGAAGAACGAGATGGAAAACCAAAGAAGAAGTTTACAAGTCTAATCCACGTCTCGAGACCATTTCTGTCTGGAGTGGATATCGCTGAACGTCGTAATCTGGTAGAAACCTTCAAGACTCTGCTGGGGCGTGACGATGAAGGACATCTCACATGTGGACTCTACTTCCCCATCAGGAATTGCTACAATACAAACATTTCTTTCTTCCATCAAGTTGAAGGCATCATGAAACACCTCAGACAGCCACTGAGTTCCTTCTTAGATGATGCCTTACTGGAAGAAGTTGAGGAGGCTGTGGCTGCAGTAGCAGCAGGGATAGGTCGCACCAAAAACGACTTACAGTCCAGTCTGGTGACTTTAGCTCATCTGCTGCTGGATGAAGACCTGGTGAAGCAGGTGATGGAGCTGAACAGTGCCATCATCAAGATCAACAGTTCATTAGTGACTTAGATCTGTTTCTCTATCTCTACATAATTGACATTATGATAGACAATGAGGCTGAAGTAGAACTGTCGTAAGAATTTAAAATGAAATTGTCTTGGGAATTCCATTATGTAGAACAGTATTACTTTAAGAGTTTCTGTTGGTTCATATTAGCATTTCAGTTTCCAGAGACATTTAAAAACAACAATACTGTACAACAATAAATTTCACACTGCAAATATATTCAGGGTACAGTATAGATTTATCAAAGCTAAAAATAAGTCTTAGAATAAATGTGATATCACAACCAGGGATCAACTACATAACATATTCTTCCAGAGCCTGAGAATAGGTGCCGTTTTTTTAATAAATACGTGAGTCAGGATTGTATCTTACAAACCCATTATTATTATATGAGGCACTCGGGGTGAAAAATAGATAAGCAGAGGTAAAGTAAGCCAGAAATTGCACGTAAAATTTACCAAATTTGAAATAAGTTTAATAAAAAAATATCCTCACTGTTGCTTGTTCCAGTACTCGACCAAAATACCAGTGAAAATCATCTAAAAATTTGTTAGAATAAACAGTCTACCACAGAAGGTAAAAAAAACTCCACAACGGAGTATATATAATGGTGCTGTACATTACTGTCAGTCTAAGAGTAGATACAGTATAATGTACTGTATATCAGCATTACATATACTTTTATCTTCTTCTCCACTAGATGGCTCTAGCCAAATTCCAACACAGACTGACTTTTTCAAACTAGGTGGCACAAAGGAACAGCCGATCTTTTGGTGAAGAGGATAAAAGTAAAAATTAAAGTATGACATCACGCCTCATTGGCTGAAGACAAGCCTAAGGCCTTCATTCTATAGGCTCGAAATTGGTGGGAACACTCCTGACATTGTTACAATGTAATAAAAATAAATATTGGTATACTACTGTTTTTAACTTAAGTTCCATTATAATGTTGTGGAGAACAGGTTGTTTGGTGTTCACTCAGGATGGGATGGAGAAAGGAAACTCACACTGTGCTCTCTGTATACATGTACTGGATGTACAATGCAGCTTGGTGCTGGGAAGGCAGCATGGTTACAAGCGTGATGTAGAGAGAGTGGTTGGTGAGGGTGCTCAGAGGAGGACCAGCCTGTGGGTCGCCATGCTTGCCGGCGGGAGCGAGGACCGCCAGGCAGGCGGAGGAGGAGGTGTTGCTGGCTGGTTGGTGTAGGTAGAAAGAGGGAGATCACCACGAGGTCAGGTCTTAAATAGCGGGGGGTAGGCGTGGCTTAGTAGTTGACCTCCGTGATGTATGGCGGTGCTGGTTGACCTAGACCACGAGGCACACACTGGAATTCGTGGGGTCGGCTACTCAGCGACAAACAGCGTTTGTAGGGGAGAAATCCACTACAATGTATTCTCCCCATACATTTTTTTGGATGGTTTTATAGTGCAAGCAAACTAATTTGTCAGTATAAAGGGGACACATGATTTTCAGTTTATGCACTTTGAATGATTGTGAACACAAATGAGCCATTAGTAGTACTGATAACTGAAAACACAACCATATGAAATGTTTCCCCACAAGTACTGTATTATACCATGAAACAAGTCACTTATGTATGTATATGGGAGTGAAGTAACACTACAATATCTAAATATGTACATGATTTCCAGCCTGGCATATGGTATAGTACATATTGAATTGAAATATTCTAATAACATTAAGTAGGTAAGTATTAATAATAAATGAAAAGTTTTATACTGAAGGCGGTATAGGCAAGGAATAGTTATTTAAAGCAGTTACTCTGAAGCGTTTTCTAATTTAGTATCTTCCTCATGCACTAGATGGCGGGCTCTACCCGGGGTGAAAATGGTACTGATGAAGGGTAATGGTCGCCCTGAGAGTATACCCGAGCTACTATTGTAGAGCGCCGCGCTGTTCTCTCATTCTTTAACCCACATTGGATGTTTTCTGGTGCAGTACTTAACTGGGTAAAAATTTCACATAACAACGGCAACTCACACCGAGTCACACTGGAACTAAAGCAACTACCAGTGTTAACGAACCTAAAGTTCTGACTACATCAGGTGGGTTTACTCATTGTGTTTATTAATGTTTATTGACAGATATTAGGTAAAACTCGCCTGTTTTGGGTTACCCTTTCTTGTTTGCATACCTACACTTCAGCACCTTAAGTAGGCGCCTGAAGATTTCACAGCTTCATGTTGAAGAAGCCAAAGGTTTAAGAAACGGTAAAAATTCTGAAAGTGTGTACCACAGAATATATATATATATATATATATATATATATATATATATATATATATATATATATATATATATATATTTTAGTTTATTTTGTGGTGTTTTGGTGGAATCTGCCCTTCATTTCTTTGGGAAGGAGCCGTTATGGTGATATGACCCCTCCCACTCCCAGGCCTTTGAAGTAAAGGTTTTTTTTTTGTGGGGTAAAATTATGAAGAAAAAAACGGTAAAATTTTAGTTACGTACAATCATGGAATCTGAGATTTTTAACACGTACAAGCGAATAATAATGAACCTAATAGAACCTGACCTAACCAACCAAAGAAACTAGCCTAACCTTACCTTACTTCCTCGATGAGGGGCTGACCCTATGTCATATTAAAGAGTAAGTATTTATTTTAACATCTGGTACTAATGAAAGTAACTTTGTTGAAGTGATATGGTGTAATTTTACATTTTTTGTGGACGTTAAGAGACGAACGAGCAAGAGTGGGTCGGTTGTAAAGAAAGCAAGTAACAGGTGTTCCCATATATGAAAACGAGAATAAATCACATCCAATGTCTCCGTTATTTGACATTTACGAGGTAAGTGTCATAGAAGAAAAGAGTCAGAATTATTAGAGCTACAGACTGCAAATGCCAAAATCCCTGAATGAGATGGTTGTACATAACAAAAGTAATATGCCCAAAGCCAAACCTAACCTAAACAAACCTAACCGGTTAATAATATAGGACTAACCCGCCAGGGCTGAAAAGCACCAATGCGGCCGTATCATCTCGCGTCCAGAAAATCCCTCAAATTTCACCATGTCATAGCAAGATCTTTCTGTTTAATATACTGGGGAAGTTAGGTAGGTTTGTTTGGTTAGGTATGTTCTTCACAGCCACAAATGTTAAGTAGCTTTTATTTTAAGAATATAAATTTTTAACATACTGTATTTCCACAAACTACAACAGTGTCCACTATAATACAACAATGAAAATCTGGCATTATTATAGTTGTTTTCAATCAATTTCGCTCGTGAGGTAGACCTATATACTGTAATTACCACCTAACCTAATCAAACCTAATCTTATCTAACCTTACCTTAATTATCAGATACTTGAGGATAAAGTGATGCAAATTGTAGGTACTTTGGCCAACCAAGTGCCACTCAAATGTAGAAATGCATAAGCTGCAATGAGATTCCTTTATCTTGGCGAGTTTGTCTATACAGTATTAGAATACCATAGGTAAATATCTTGATGATAGTGACAGTCTGAAATACATTTTGCACACTTCACAGGTTGGCAGAATGCCATGAGTTAAAAATGTTATTAGCAGCAGCTTTATTTTCAAAAACACGGTGAATGGTTTGTCAAGCTGACAAAGTACAGTACACCCATTACACAGAGAATCCATCTTGTGACTAGCCAAGCAAAGTTCAGAACTGAGCACATGTAGGAGTATCACGTGACACCAAGAGCAATGCTGATTGGCGGACATAGTTAAGTGAGTAAGATGTAAACAATGTCCCCCACCAAAATGTACTGTCTTAATTCAAATTAAAAATGAAAAAAAAATGGCAGGTGGCTAACACCAAAAAGCCTTGTTCGATTTTGTTAAATTTTTCTACAGATGTTCTTTGGATGATAGTAAGTAATAAAAATTATATGACAATGCATAGAACCTAATTGATCCTTACCTAATCAACTGAAGAAACCTACCTAACCTAACCTGACTTCCTAGCCGGGGGACAGACCTCCTGTCATTTTAAACAAAGTACAGTGTATTGTACTTACTTTGATATCTGGTATCAATAAAAGCAATTTTTTTGAAGCATCATGGTGCAATTTTACTTTTTTTAGTAGACGTGAGAGTACGTTCGGTCTGAGCGTAAACAAAAAAAAGCAGACGACACCACGCTAACACGTCAGATTTTTTTTTAATTAATTCCTTCATAAACAATTGGATGTAGAGACATCATTTTAGAAAATTTTGAGGGCAAACTTTTTCAAAATGAGGTTTGTCAACTCTTGGAACAATCTATCAGAGTTGTGATGGCACAGATTTTGTTTTAACGGGGATTAGCCAACCCGGGCACAAGTCATTGACCCACATCGGCCTAGGGATGGCGAAAATATAATAATGATAATAATTAATAAAATTTATAATAAAAAATAATGTTAATAATAATAGCCATAATTTTTTATTTTTTTTTTATTTATTTTTTTTTTTGGTGGGGACCAGTCCACCTGGGCGCAGGTCACTGGCCCACATCGGGGCCCGGGGAGTGTAATATAATACTACTACTAATAATAATAATTCATAATAAATACAAAAAAAAATAAAAAATAATACATACAAAAATGAAAAAAAAAACCGTCAAGAATGAGAAACAATATACAGTAATACCCTGCTTTACACGGTTCTGGTTTACTGGTTTACGCGTTTCTACATTTACGCAGTACCCTGCCAGAACCGGAATTCCCACTTTATGCGGTGCATCTACTCATATACGCGGGTGAAGTATAATTTTTTTATTTAGCTCATAAAATTCAAACAAAATAACCCGGCCAGAATATAATTTAGATAGCTGGAATTCTTACAATATGATGATCATTTTGAATATAACCATCATGGATTTTGCATTAGACATACAAATTTTAGACCTAATGTATGAATTTTGTTTACACAGAGCAAATATGTTATCTTTTGTGCAAAATATATGACATGTATATTCAAAATATTCCTGGTCTTGCAAGGAATCCAGCAGTGTCAATTATATTATCCTAACTTTAGTTTGAGGTATTATTTATTACTATACCTTAAAATCCAGTGTTTTCACCCAAACATTTCTCAGAGAGGGAGGAGCCAGTGAGTGTGGGAAAGGGGGGGGGGAGTTGAGTCCATTATTTGAATGGACATTAACCTGGCGACTGTATTTCTCTTAAATATTAATTGTGTGTGCATACCATCATAAAATTAAGATGTTATTTTTACTACAAAATAGGTACAATGGGGTATGCTATAACAAACGGATCCTACTACGAATATTCCTATAACGAACGGCTTTACCTATAAAATTGAGAATGCTATAACGAAGGAAACTCCTACAACGAACATTATTAAAAAAAAAAAATTAGCAAATTAGCAAAAAAAAAAGATTTTTTTTGTTTTTTTTGCTAATTTATTTTTTTATTACAAATATTAATGATATTCTTTATTTCAGGGGTTTAGATGCATATTTATGCACTTTTTTACAAATTTTACAATTTTATATTATATTTTTCAGTGTTAAGTGGTTGTATTTGGGGGCCTGGAACGGATTAATCCTATAACGAACGAATGTTATAACGAACAAGGTTCTAGAACCAATTAGATTCGTTATAGCATACCCCACTGTATTGTGTCGGAAAAAGTGGAGTTTGGGAGCCGGCCCAATCTCTATTTCAATTAATCCCATATGTTCTGTTATTCCATTTACTCGTTTTACGCGGACCTCCGCGGGTTCAATTGACAGCGTAAATCGGGGTATTACTGTACATGTACTGTATGTATGTTGCGTTGTCAAAGTAAGAGAAACAATTGAGACCCTGCAATTGTGAGTAAATGTGGCAGAAAATCAGATCAGCAACCTGGGACTTGGTCACAATTTTCATGATGCCATATGGGAGCAGGGTCTACCTTTAG